GAATTGATGTTACTTTTCTCTTAAATAGTTTAACTGAAACTACACTCACACAAATACAAAACCCCACAGTGACTAATTACACTCCAATGATTACATTGGTTACGCTAATGAAAGGAAAAAGCAATGTATATAGTGGTCTGCACAAGTTACAGTTACATACAATCAGATTACCTGATGAATGACACCTAAGACTGTGTCACTATGGGCACACAAAGGTAGTAAAAGCTGCTCAAATTTGTCCAGGACTGGCAGACAAAGGTCCCTAAGGCCTCATACTGCACAGACACTATTTAGTACCTCACGATTCAACAGAAGCAGCAACACGGAGTGTCCTTTCCAGAACTACAACTTATTTTAAAAGACCCCATTACTGTACCCAGAGTGCTCTCTTTATACCCGAGAGCCTACTAAGGCTTTGGTCCAGATGCCCTCCCACACCAAAGAGCTCCACGAAAAAGGCAACGGATGCATCTTCTTTCAGCAACTTAACATTAACTACATTTCAGTTTAGGTAAGAATGAGAACGGAGGAAGAGAAGTGTTGGATTCACCTCCTCTAGTTCATTCAAGATTTTGTATCCTTTGCTGTTCTCTTTAAAAATAAATACTCCAATATTTTCATCTTATTTCATTCTCTACAGGCAGGAGTTTGATTAGGAAATATACCAGCACTCTCTTGGCCCTAATTAAAGGACACGTAATACAACAAATAGATGGCAATGCCACAACATGAATTCGATCCAGCCTGCATCATTTGTTCATAACTTTTATTCACAGAAATGAGACTACTACTTTCCTTCCACACCTCTGTCAGGCTCCCCACGGAAATTACTCTCATCCACTCTCTTGTAGAGCGCAAACATACAACTTCACTAATGAAAAATTGCTAGCAGAAGCAACAAGCACATCTCAGCTAACTAATCCATGGGATGTTCAGGTCTGGAAACATAAACTTTCCTACCTAATAAGGGTGTGCTGATCTCAATCAGATTGATGCCAGGTTGCCTTGGAGTGCAATCAATACAAAGCAAATAAATTATTAATTGCTCCAAGTAATTAAATTTATCAAATCCAAATAAAAATAACTGATATTTTATGGAACCATTTCCAAAGCTGAACCTCTGAAGGGACAGTATTGATTACAGGAGGACAGACAGATGTTTCACATGTTCACAGCCGATGAGGTCTGGGTTTGCATTAATGACAGGGAAGGAACAGAGCCAACAGCCTCCGACATAGAGTAAACAGGCGGTGTGCTTGGCCATTTAATTGTGGGTCAGATCAAATATGGAGAATAAACATGTCTGAACACATACATACAACCCCATCTTCCTCTAGAAATATCATTCACCTTGGAGCTGTAGTAAGCCCTCAGTTCCCACTCCAAGAAAAAAATGGAAAAGAAGTCACACACACACACATTCCCCCCACAACCACAGTAAATTCTTACTCATTAATCAGTGCTAAAAAGAAATGCTCAGCTGGCTAGTAAATATTTAAAAGCTGGTGAGTGTGAATATTTGAATCAATGGGTACTAAAGCTGTACTTGTAATTTTCTTTCCTCTACTTCTTTTTTAATTGGTCCAACTGGCAAATTGTCTACAAGATCCCAGTTAGCAGATGCCATCAGGCTGCTGGCTGGAAGCCTTTTCTGAGGGGGGTGGCCAGCTCTGAATGACTAAGCTGGAGCATCCCTCAGTCCTTTCTGCAGACTGAGATCTCTACAAACTCCTTTTCACCCCGGAGTTTTGTTTCCAGATGAGACATCACTCAATCGATTCGCTACCAGTTCCTTTGTTTCCAAACCCATGACAACAGAACAAGGACACAGACTTATACCTCAACATGCACGAGTGGGGACAAACATCCACCCTTTTCTATCCATCACCTTCCTTCTTAAAAGCACTGCTGCAGCAATTCAACAGCATTAACGAAATCCTAACTTAAAATTCGCAAATAAGGCTGAGAGAGAAGATGAGCAAATTAAAACACATTGAAGAGATGTTAAGTGCGCCAAAGTCAAGTGCTCTGAACACAATGAAGTCAAAGACAAAGGTTAAACTTAAAAGAAAGATGAACACAACATGGTATAGAAACACTGCGGTGAATTCAAAACAAACTCAGCTCTGCCCTACAGAAGCAACACAACGCCTAGATCACAAACACGAGGTTAGCATTGGATTGTCTGGGTCCTGGAAAAGATTCAAGTTCAACAGCTCCCATTTTCCTTTCCTTCAGGCAGATCCTCAGCAAAGCTTTCCTTCCTCATAGCTCCCTGCTTTCCCTTTAGTCTCTTCCTCTCCTTTCCCTGCACAAATTCTCTACCCATCTCTCATTTCCTCTGGCTCTTTGGCTGTCTGCCCTCCCAGCTGAGCAGACCTGGTATAACAGGAAGTTTTCCAGAAGTAACGCTAAGGATTAATGATGCACTTCTGGTGTTATTTTCATAACGCTGTTTTACTAACAGCAAAGGTCTAAAATTCCTTTTCAAGAAACTCATGAAAGGTTTATCCTCTTCCAAAACATCTGCTACTGCCTCCTGTTCTCAGTGGCACCAAGGCAATACACTGCCTTGAATTAAGACGAAGCTTTTCATAATGCCCAGCTTCCTACTGCCTTAGAGAAACTTGCAGTCTGGGCTGTCAGGAGGCAGAGGGGAAATCCCATGCAGAGCAAGGGCACGGGGGCTGTGGCCTTCTTTGCCTGTGGCCACAGCCCCATGGAGAACAATGGGAGACTGAAGCCATTGTGACAGAAGGCAGCTTGTCGAACTCACTGGAGAAGATTACTCTTCAGCGTCTGCTGAAGGAGAAACTTTAGGTTATGAAGAATAATGGCTGTAAGTGACCATTAATCCCGGGGGAGGGGAGGGGGGGGGAAGTGTTCAAATTCAGCCTGTGCATAAGATTTTGTAAGCTTTAACAACATGGGGAATTTGAAAAGCCAGGGCTATTGTCATAAAAATTACTGGGAACAAATTAAGTTGAATACAGATTGCTAACTTTTTGTTCAAGGACTCATTTCTATAAATTAATTTTAACTCAAGTTTTCAGACTAATTGTAAATCCTCAGGAAAAAAAAAAATATCTCTAATCAAAGAGTAGGCGCTATTATCCTGGCGATGATATGGTACATTTTTCACACGTGACAGAGGTTGCGTCCCTGATCTCAGTGCAAAATCCAACTTCGCCTAACCATGAAGGCATAAAACACAGTAGCAAAGTACAAAATAAAAGAGAATAATAGAAGCCTTTAGGTGAGGAACCCTTTAGGTCCTCAGGCAAAAGAACTTACTGCAGGATGTCACAAGCCTTTAGAAATCATTTTCCAATGTGCTCAGGGCAAAACATCTTACACTGGCTGTTGCCAGAGTACAAGTTCCCAGCACAGCATCCCAATTCCTCACTTAGTACTGGTCAGCTCCCACCCTCATCAATTTCACACCACTGGTGTGTAGAGGGTTTGCCACATACATCCCACAAGTAAAATAATTCGGATTAGCATGGATTGTCAACTCTACACCACTTAGCACTTCAGTGTCTCTTACCAGTTCAAAAGGCCCGTACTGACCCCATGTAATTAATTCTCCCCATCACACATATGTGAAGCAAGTGAGTCTATTAGCTCCCATTTCAAAAACTGAGTACTGCAGGCTGAAAGTTGCTGAATCAGACTGCCATGCCTCATCTTATCACTGCATTTTGTGAGCATTAAAGAGAACAGGGAGAAGCATGTAGCACCCATTTTCACAAAGGCTGGGATTTGAATTGCCTGTTTGGCACATGAAAAGGCTGCTGGCTTTGCCAGATGGTTCCATCATTGACACTTTATTGCTCAGTTTCTCTTCCAGAGGGGGTATAAAAATAGAAAAGATCAACCATCACTTATTAGTTTTCAAAATCCAAATCAATCTCCATAAATTACTCTATTTATCTTAGTGCTGGAGAACACATCTGCCACATCTCCATAAATCTCAACACATGCACTGCAGTCTTGCCTGTCAGTTGCCTATGAATTCCTTAAGGCTGTAGCCCCTCACTCAAACAGGTAGCCTGCAGATGGTGGCACTTGTACACTAAAGGGGTCCACCAGCAGTGACCTTGCCGGGGCATGCCACCTCTAATGTGCACGTGCACCCATACGTCAAAGCAACATGATCCCAAACACATTTCTATTGACAGCCCGAGGGTGTTCCCAGCAACATTTGAAACTATTCTGACATCAAAAGAACATCCCATAAAACATTCTTTAAAAGTGACCTAGAAAATTACTACGCCAAGTGAGGGTGGCAGGCAAGGAACCTACTTCTCCACCCTTGCTACAATAAAGCAACTGAGGATTATTTTATTTGGCTAGGGAAAAAAAGCACCTGTACTGGGCAAATAGGTTTTTGCTATCAAAACCCCTCTGAAAACATTCACTTGGCCAGGCAGGTTTAACTTACTCGGTATCCCAAAACCTGTCGCTAAGAGAGAGGCATCAAGTCTTGCTGATAAAACAGCAAGAAAGTTCTTTTCTCGGGGATATCTGTGCAACAGAATGAACAAAGGGGCTTTTCCGCGCAATATTTTCTGAAGATAATGGAAATAAGGCGGCTAAAAATTGTATGCATTTATGTGCCTCTCCTTTTCAAGTCACAACCTGAACATCCAGCTCTTAAAAGCACCTCTCATCTATTAACAGACGTGCTCTACGAGGCCTATTACATTTGGCTGTTTGGACTAGACAGCTCCATTTGGGTCTGTCACGTGTGTCTAACAGCAGAGCAGGCACACCACTAACAAACACCAGCAAGTTCAGGTGCCCCTGCAAGGCGATGAGCTGGCTTTCACAGAGCCAGCATTCCAGGTTTCTGAGTCTCCACATTTATGGAATTCCTTTCTTATTTTAGAGGCAAGAACTTGACTTTCTTTAGCTATAAAAGGAGAACAGATGAGGAGACAGACAGGCAGACTGAAAGACATTAACAGAGGTCCCAAGGGACCAGGACAACAGCCTACCCTCTGGCTTCGCAGCGTGACACCTGCAGATTTGAAGTCAGGAAACTTGATGCCAGCAGTCTCAGGAACAGCCTGAAAAAGATCGAAACAGGATGTGTTGATGGAGGAAACACAAGAAACACAAGGTTTCATATAGAGACTATCTGAAGGGGAAACACTGTTTCCTATGACAGAGAACCACCTGCCACAGCCACATGTCAGAGCTGAGGCAAGAGGAAAATCCCAAGCAATAGGATTCAGTGGGAAAATCCCAAGCAATTCACTGAGAAAAATACTCCAGGTTCAAGGTATCTTTGTAGAGCTCAAGCATTTTTGTTTGGTTGGTTTAAATTCACTGCTCTACACAGAGCCTTAGACCCATACATACAAGCATAAACCCTAACCCTAAATACTACTCCTTACACTGACATATGCTTATTCGCACAGTATCATCTTATTTAACTTAGGCCCATTTCACTGATCAAAACAGCTCAAGACTTCCATAAATCTTGGCTTTTGACCACAAGTCCTCTAAGGAATGAGAAGAGAAACCTCTGATCTGTACAGACATGAGCCCTCTGATGAGGATGTAAGGACTGCACACCTCCAGGGAGGCCTGTTTATACACGTTTTGCCATTTGTCCACTCGTTAGATAGTTTTCTTTCTTCCCCACTTCACATTTAAGCATAGCAATGAAAGACAGCAAATTTCTAATGCTACTGCTGCTAGACAGTAAAGCGTCTAGTTACATTTCAACAAAATGGGGAAAAAAATGCAATTTCTTAAAAATCTGTGCTGCTGAGCAAAAGCACAAGGTAAGCAAACTTTCAAATTATTAAACCAAGCTATCCGCAGAGCCCTGTGCACTGAATGGTGGGGAGTCCCCTGAATGGATCACCGATACTCATGATTCAATCTAAGAATAGCCACAATCTCTACAAAACGCATGCTCAATCACGCTTTTCCAAAAGGAAGTCACCTCAAATCTCCCAATTTTTTTTGGAGACAGCATTCACCTTGCTACTCCCACATTTCTCTCCCGAGAGGCTCTGCGGCTTGCTCCTTGTTCATTCCAGACAGGGCTGAGACAACCAGGGCCGCCCCAAGATCATAAGAGATGCTGAAGGACAGTGACACAATTCCTCAAGTTCCCTGCCAATGACTCTCACGTCTCTATCAGCTATTTCTATATCATGGTCTTGAGGTTGCACCTTGCAAACCCCTCTGTGTGGCCAGGCATTAAGATTTTTTTCAGGCATCTGTGGTCAGTCCAATAAACAAAGGCCCCAGGGAGATATTTCTAAACATCACCATGGTGGAAAAAGTATTCTTTAACCGCCAACAGGGCTCATGAACTTACAGGGATCACTTTGTTCTTGGGTAGGATACAGCCTCCCACCTTGGATTATTAGAGACAAAGGCGGCTACAATCAAAACCCAATCCTCTCTGCTTCCTTTGGATGAAGGCTGGCTTTCAGACCCCCCAAACTCTGCCCCCCAGCCTGTTGCTGAACACCCTGACACAAGCAGTGAGGGGAAATGAGCATCATTGGCTTAGCCAAGACAACTCTGACTGCACTCAGCGCATAAGCAATTAAATGGGTTCTTTTGCCTTGCGTACCTGTACATGCTGTAAACGCTTCAACCTCAATTGACTCTTTGGTAAATGATTTTCCTTTGTTGAAATGATGCTGATGCAGCTCCCGATTCAAATTCTTAGTTAAAATGCAATTTTTTTCTTAACATTTCCCAGCTATAGTTGGTAATTGACTCCTAATGGACTCTGTCATGGTTGAAATGATGCTAGTGCAACAACAGAAACTGCTTCACTGTCCACGCTGGCGTGCGTATGCACTATATGCCTGCAGACAGGCACCAGCCGAACGGCAATATTTAGGGCTGGACTCCCTCACCTTGGCATCCTCAGCATCTTTCCAGCCTCACTCTCCATCACCACCAATGATGAGCTGCTTTCTTTAGAGGGAGATATGCCAATCACAGTTGAGCTTTACCGGATCACCCCTCAAGGGAATTCAACGCACAGGGTGCCCAGCGATATTCTATTAATTACACAGAGGGACAGAGGGGGAACCAAAACAATGTTTTAAGGAAGTGGTGGCCATTAGGCACACTTCATCAAGCAATAACTGTCTAGCATTCACTGCTTCTCTCCCCTCCCTGCACAGACCCTTCTGGAGGACAATGACACAAGTGCTCTCTGTTCACAAGGTGGAAGGACAGGAATTCCCAGGGGCTCACTGGAAACATCTGAGATTTTGTGACAGCCCTTTCCTACTGAAGGCGCTGAATTTAGTTCAGTCCAGGCTGTCCTCTTTCCAGAAAGGGAAACTGAGGCAACATCAAATGTGAATTGAAACCTGTGTTCTGGGCTCCTTCGACTTTAGCTCTGCTCAGGGAAAAATGAGAAGCAATAACTCCCAGAATACAAGAGTCACCCAGCAGGACTGCTCTGATCACAGCTGAGGATCAGGAGAGGGGCATGTACTGAGCTTAGGGAGATGCTGCTGAGACCCAGAATTAGGAAGGGAAAGGGAAACCTCGACTAGAAAAAGAAGGCAGGTGAAAGACAACGGGTTTGTGGGATAATCCTGCACAGCAGTACCAGAATACACTTGGGAGAAGTAGGGAGACAGTTGCTTCTCCCTGCCATGAGGCATGAATGGCTGGCATCATTTCATCCCATTTCTCAAAGAGGAATAGGGAAGCAGGACTTAAACTGGCATTTTTCAAATGGAGACAGACAGAGAGCACACCAGAGGACTCTGACAATGGCTGCCTTAGACCAATCTGTCTTCTAAAAGACATAACAGAAAAAGCATCTGCCAGAAGGCAGCCAGCAGCTACTCCCCTAAAAAGAGCTGAGGGCCTGATCCCAGTACGATTGCTGAAGGAAAAACATTACCAACCAGAGCATAAGCAGGGGGGGAGGGGGCACGTCTCTGCTCAGTGGTGGTGTCAGCAGCTGTGATGAGCTTCTGCAGGTCTTGGGTTCTCTTTTCTCTCTCTTTCTTCCTGGTTTCGATTTTTCGGAGCTCCTGGATGAGGTATTCTTCTTCTGCCACCTGCAGACCAGAGCACGTAAAGGCAATCAGAGCAGCAGAGGAGGCCTAGCAAGGCAAGGGGGCCATCTACTGATAACAGCTCTGCTCTGGGCCGGCCTGGGAATGACTTTAAGCTCCCCTGCCTAGTATCTTGGATTTGCAGAGCACATTAGGCTCCACAGCCTTACCCTATATCCACGACAATGCCAGTCAACAAACGGGCAGGTACTGTATCACAACATCTGTGATGCACTCTTCAGCAGCATCCATAAGTGATTAATCCCACCTCCAGACAGATACCAAGAGCATAGACAGAAGGGTAAAAAAGCCCAAATATACTGTAGTTGCTAATGCAGTGTTGTGAAAAGCTGGCTTCCCTCCCAGACATAGCATGTAGAACCTAGAGTAGCTACACTTAGTATCAGCACACCGGTCAAGGTGGGAAGGACAAGTAGACTCATTGCATGTATAAACTTGTCATTAGAGGGAACTACTAACAAAAAGGATGCTCTCTCCCAGCCTTCGGAAGGGACACAGTTCCTCAACCTCTAAACCCTGGGACCGTTACACAGCTTCAACAAAGAGGAGAACTAAACATGCAGATTTAGTGTCTTTGATATTTTCTGGCAAGATTTTTACCTCAAAGGAAATAATTCTCTCCCCGTGGGACTCAGGGACTCATAAGGACACTGATCTAAAAATTTGTTTCTATTCACAGGACTAGTACAGTAAGTGTCACAGAGAAGGCGTTGGCAGTTACCAGAGATCATGTTGGCAGTTACCAGGGCTCACCTAGCCATCTCTCCTGCATAGTCATATTTCCCAGTTATTGTCCTTTTGTATTCCTTAAAATGACATGAACTCAACAACAAAAGCAGTACTTAGGTGTTGCTCTTTTCTTGTCCAGTCTTTCTTTCCCTTTCCCACCCTCTGGCCTATTTCATTCACCTACTGATTCAACTTATCATTAATCTTTTGGATGAGTGATGCTTCCCCAAGTTACCTGCTCTGGTGTCCTATTGTACAGCCTTTCCAGTTGTTCCTTCCTTCGCCTCTCATGGCCAGCATCGAAGACTGGGATTTTCAGGTCTGTGCCCGGAGCAGCACGAATATTAGCCAGCTTGGCACAGATGTGATAATATCGTTCCTTCAGGTCCTCCACTGATCTTTTCTATGGAAGACATCACAGGAGCACAACATTATGGAAGAACCAAGCAAAACCTTGTGCAGTAGCCAGCTAAGGACCACTGGCTGAAGGATGGCAGCATGTAAGACGCTACATGAGAGGAAAAGCAGCAGGAAGCCTTGCTGGTCCCAGTAGAACAACAGGGGAGGGGGCGTTTCTCAGTGAACTGCGTGAATTAACTGCCATTTAAAGCTACTGCTTTAAAAACACCCATCAGAGGGTCCAACAATACCGCTAAGGGTTAGAGACAACACAGCAGTGAAGCACTCCCAGATAAAAGGATGCAAGGATAGTTGTCTCAGAGAGGAGAAAACCCACAAACAGGAAACAGTGACAAATGTGCAGGAGGCCTCCTCTGAGCTGCTCCAGCCAATGGCCATTCAAGCCATAACCAAGAAGGTATTAGCTGCAACAATTCATTGTCCATTGTTACATGGAGCCTGAGGTGTCTTCCCTTACTCCAAGTACCAAAGGTGTTTGGCTTGCCCAGCTGGGCAAACTCTTCTTATTCCACTTTGCTACAGGCTCTTCACGTGAGCATTTCAGAGGGCAACAAAAATCTCCACCATTTGGAGCTGTTCTGTAAGAGTCACATCATTCCCTCATGTTACCAAGAGGCATGGAACCAGCAGCTCCAGGAGATTTATGATCATGACACCACGGTGGCATCTTCAGACCACTGATGGTGCCTGCTTCACAGCAGAGATGACAGAAACCTGCACCAGGTCAGACCACAAGTCAGGAGCCGCACTGGGGAAAAATCCCAATCCCCAGGGACCGTTAGCAGATTCTTCTCCCAGGACTAGACTGGAATCCAGGACACCTATCTTGCTCAGCTAAACAAACTCCCCAGCTGCCTTATCTTCAGGGAACAATGAGTTGTTCTCCTGACAGGGGCAAGCCTTCTAACTTTCTAATAAAACACAACAGGGAATGAGCACAAGTCACAGTGGATTTAATTAGAAACAAAGCAAGCAGCAATGCCCTGTGCTGGAAATTCAATATTCCTTGCTGCCAATAATTCATTATTTTCCCCTAATTAAGTTGATATAAAGGGTAATTTGGTCTTTGCAGTGCAACGAGCCCTGCACGTGCCGTAGCAGCAGGTTGCTAGCAGCACCTTGGCTCCCGGGACTCACCTTGAACTGCTGGTGATCGTAGCGGTCATGAATCACCACAAAGCGCAGATCAAAACGCCGAGCCAGGTCAAAGAGGTGGTCTGTCTCAGCTTTGGTCCACGCATCATCATGGAGATACATCTGGTATTCCTGCTCCGAGTAGACAGGTACCTGCACTGTCTATGCAGAGAAAAGAAAAACATGGTAGCTCTCTTGCAGTACTGCTGTTCTCACTGCCAGCTGGTAAGGGCTGAGATACTTGAGCCAAGAACAAGAGTAGTGCGCTAACAGCAGGGGGCTGCCAGGACCCTGAGCATGGGTCCTGGTAGAAAACGTGATGAGCAGGCAGAGGACTTGATAAGGAGCAATGTGTGATCTCAGGGCCAGAAACATGATGTTCTGAGGAGCCTACCAGGAAATACCGCCTGGGAGGCTGAAACCTGTTTCAGGTGGCTGACACAGGCAGAGGTCAGCAACCCACATCCTGACAACAGGTTTCAAAATTATCAGGCTAACATGACAGTGAAACCAAGGTTCAGCCAGCCTCCCTGCATTCCTTCCATATAGCAGAACCAATACCTTGACATAAACTGCTCTGACAGTCGACTCTACTTGGGTTGGGACACGCTCACTTGTACGTGAAGAACGGGAAAGGCAAGGAGCGGCAGTTCCTAGCCTTTAGCACACCTTCTGCTTTGACACACAACCCACTTCTTTCATGTTTGGTGCAGACAGTGCCATGAAGATCTGAAAGGCTGAGTGCTGTACAACTGAGGGCCATAAACTTGGCAAACAACTTTGTCCCTCCCTTCCTCATCCACCCTTTGTCCAACAGGGCCACAGGGCCAAACGACAGTCCAACTCTCAGAGTGTCCCAGGTGCCTAAAAGGCGAAACCCACACCACTGTCCACAGCCTGGAACTGCTCTGCAAGGGCTCTATCCAGAACATAAGTGTCACATGAGTACTAAAGGAACAGTAAAAATACTTACTGTATTAGGGGAAGTCCTAGCACATGGTAAAGCAAAAGCACAAACAAGCCTGTGCTTTCCTCCCTCCACTCCCACCACTCCTGCACTGGAACTCTGCTCGGCCTGAGGAGGTCCTGTCTCCACAAGAAAACACTGTGTGCACGTGAGCAGCAAACATGCTTCATCACCTCTACGCCCTCCTGAGTCCTACGCCAGAAAAGTCATCCCCATGAACTCCATACAGCTCAGATGAGCATTTCTGAGCCTCCAAATAAGAACCTCTTTAGGTCTACTGCCCTTCTTCCATCACAGACACAGACGCTTAACGGTGAAGCCTATCTCTTGGGGATGCACTGCACCTCAATCTTCAATTACCACATCCACCAGAAGAAAAGCCATCCTACTAGACACTATAAGGACGTCCTATGTACATCGTGAAATAGATATATATATTTTCTAGAGTAGCACACATATATGAAAAGAGCCAGCAGGGCCCTCTGCAGTGGATGGAAGGGAAGGCAGCAGATGCCCGATCATAGAAGAGAATGGGACAAGAGCAAAGAGCAGTCCCCAAAACAATTCCTTAGCCGCAGTCACGGCTGCTGAGGTAAGAACTTCTGAGAAGCAAGAAGGTGGGAATTCATCGGATGGAAAGCTTGAGCCAGCCACGGCATGACTATAAGTTCAAATGCAACATAGCCATGAAAATGCAAATATGACCACCCGAGAGGGATTTCCAGCAGAAACTGGCAGAGTTTCAGTTGCACCACAAGACCTTGGCAGGAATACCAACTATAACTCTACTGACCCCTGTTCAGGAAAGATGAACTGAAATGGGAACAAGTACAGAGAAGAGCAACAAGGATGAGTAATGGGGTGGGGAGCTTGTCTTCCCACAGCAGATTGGAAGAGAAAGGAGCCTAGCAAAGGAAGTCTGAAAGGGAATCTGACTGCAGGCTTCAAGTACGCTAGATGAATGAAAGGAATACCCACAGGAAGAAAAGAACAACTGAAATAAGGACAAAGAAACTGGCTTGCACAGAAATGCCAATTTCACATGGAAAATTTAACCTGGAAATGAGAAATGGGGCAGAGGCAGTCTGGAATTGCTTCCCAAGGAAGGACGGGGGCAGGAAAACCCAAGTGCTTTTCAAAAGGAACTTGACCAGTTTGAGAGACTGGATGGTGCAGGACCTGAAAGACCCAAGAAGAGGATTCAATGGCCTGGAAAAACCCCTCTCAGTCCTACATTTCACACTATAAACCTACACAATGATGGCCATTAAATTAGCTGAAACTGCTCAGGCAAGATCCTGGAGCCATGAGACAGTTCTGTGAAAACATCAGCACAATGACTACTAGTGGTGAAAAGACAAACTGAACAGTAAAAATTATCAGGGAAATAAAGAGAAACACAGCCAATGTACAAACATGCTATGGTTCCTTAAGTGAAACACGCACTCCTAGTCCATTTCAAAATAAATTATATTTGAGAACAACAAGGATGAGACAGGGCACAGAAGGGCAGACGTATGTCAAATTACAGAATACTCAGTACACAGCAAGGACAATTTACTACATCATGTAACACAAGATCTCATAGGCATCAAATGAAACCCCAAGGCAGCAGTTTAAAATGAACAGAAGAAAGCACCTTGGCACACCATACAAAATTAACCTGAGGAACTCATTACCATAGGATATTCACACAGCAGCTTTCTGCCCTGAATGTACCTAGCAAGAATTATTAAACATGAATTCCAAGTTAAAAAAATCCTTAAGCCAAAGACCACCAGAAGCCAGGAAAAAATGCTCTCTATTTGCCCCATTCTCATGCTCTTTCTCTAAGCTTTTACTAATGGTGGCCAGAAACAGAATATCAGCTGAGAGAGGCCTTTGCTCTGACACTAGCAAAGCTGCTTTTATATTCCTATTTCACAGCCTGGATCAAGGCTCAGTGTACACTGTGAAACGTAAGTTTACATTTTGGATCTCACAATGAAAAGGAGGGATTTGGTTCAGAGACTGGAAGCACACAAAAAAAGCAAAGCAACTGAGCAGTGACGCAGAGCGTGAGCAACCAAGAGGACAGACTACATAGGAAAATGGGCTTATGCCAAGGGGAGCAAGAGATTCAGGCAGAGGTATCAAGTACGTGAAAAGGAGCCCACAGAAGAGTTTGGAAAAGTAAATAAATTCCTCTGACATGGCAAATATCTGCAAAACTCCTCATCAGTGCCTTCTATCCTCTCACACGGATCCACAAGGGTAACAACTTGCTCATAATATTATGTAGTTGTGCAAGTGCAGATGGCAGAGGTCTGTACCACTAATCTAAAGGTTGCAGCCTTGATGAAGGCTCCTCTGTCTGTCAATTCATGGGACACGATAAAGTTAAGGAAACTAGAATCGTATAATTACAACACTCGTGTGTGGCCCCCTCTGATAAACTTGGGTGAACTCAGCCAAAAACTGTTACAGCAGTAGAGTCTCAGAGACAATTACACTCCCAAAGTTTCGCTCAGACAGCTAGGTAGGTGCCTTGACTAAGTGAGTCACGCTTCAGACTTCCACCCTAGACATCAGAGAAGAGATACCACAGGAGGCTCTTACCAACGTCCCAGCAAGAGGAAAAGCATCAGTCAGAGCTTGAGCCTTCTAACATATAAGGTCAACCAACCACTTAACTCTGCAGGAAGCCAGGCTTTGTTAGAGCTGATGCTCTGTGGGTTACAAACTTAAAATGTTGTATACAGTTATACGCAAGCAGAGCTTTTGTGGAATCCTGTTAGCACATACTTTTTTCCCCCCTTCAGATTTGCATCATGAAGGGGGTTAAATTATATTACGGAGGCACCCTAACTCTCCTCCTTCCTAACTTTGGAGGTCCTGACTTTGAAGTATAAATCTTGATGTAGTTTTCTTTGTGCATACACATGAAAGCCCCAGCCACTCAAAGCAGATACATCTGGGACAAAAGACAGCAGGAGATTACAACAACACAGTGACAATTTAATATAAGACACAAAGAACAGGGTACTGCACCACACTGATACCACAAGAGCAATTTCAGAGGGAACGCAACGTAATTCAGCATCTGTGCTGGAATCTGGCCAAAAGGCCACAAGCCAGCTTTTTGGCCACAAAGCTCAGGCAATTTTTTTTCATACCAGGCAAAATAACAAGACTTATGACTTTAAAGTCGCACTCAGAACAGAATATCTTTTACTACCTAGAGCCTGTAATCAGGGGAAGGATGTTGGTTAGGAACTGAATTAGATGGCAGAGTGCCTCCTTTCCAAATCAATGACTGCACACCTGAAACACAGGGGGCTCTAGCAAGCTCTGACCACATACTGAGACCACTTAGCTTGAATGATTTGGAGGCACATTTGGATGATCTGGAGTCTGTGATCACATGGCTGCAGGTCATGCTGCAATTTAAAATGCAATTGCCAAATCTAACTCAGCCTTCACTTGTTGAAAGAACCAACTTCCTATCTGGACATTCAAGAAGTTGACTGAAGGGTATTTTCCAGCTGCTATTTATATGCTTTTGTTTGAAAGTGCTCCCACTTACTTTATTGAACCGGGCAAAAGGGTAGTCCTTCCCTTCCTCTGCTGCTCTCCTCCAGTGGTAGAACATTGCTCCATCTTTTCTCGCTGGGTTTGTGAAAGGCATCCACTTCCAAGGCCGGACTTTCTTGGACCCCAGTTTTGCTTTGACTGTTCGATAACCCTGAGTTGTATCACTTGGCAGCAGCGGAGGTGCATCCCTGTGGTGGAGAAAAGCGCTGGCTGACAAGAAGCAAGAAGTAGCCCAGGACAAACCCAAAGAGATTTCAGACTCAGTGGGATCCGCCACCACAATGCTTAGTGTGGAAAAACCCGAGTTTAAGCTTTATTCCAGGTTATGCACTTCCCAGACTCCAATGCTTCCCGCATCAGAGGACAGAATGTTCAGCATGGATGGGTTTGAACAGAACCATCTGGAAAGCAAACTATGCAAGAGACCCCTGGGGCAAGGGCACAATCCATAACAAGCTAAATACAGGCCGCAGCAGAACTCTTTTTTCAGAAATAAAAGCAGGTGTTGTTCCCAGTTGTGAATAAAGAATAATTAAATATAGAAGGGTAAGAACACTGCCTTGTCTGCACTAGACTATTGTGCATGTACCTAATTCATCTCCTATCCAGCACAAACCCCTCAAATTCAGAAGAGAGAAAACAGACATGGCCCATGACTGTCTAAGAGAGAAGGGCACAAGCATAGGCCAAGCACAAAGGGGAATGCAGGAAGCAAGACCGCCCATGGTTTCAAGAGGATGCTGCCCTGCCACCAAAAGCCCAGGCTACCCCACAATCTTCACAGATGACCACAAACACTTACTTTTTGTCAGAGTAGAGGAGTGCATAAACTTCTCGGTGCATCCCTTCTGGCCTCTTAAATGTCAATGTCTCTGAAGATTTCTTGGATTTTTTCTGAAACAAAAGAATTGCGTTTTAGATTTAGAAGTAGCAATCCCTGAGAGAACATTAAACTACATAACCTGTCGCCCTGTAATGTTTTTTCCTTTTATCTGGTTTTAGGCACCTTGAATTTCTCCAAGAAAGTGCCTGTTCCTGGTGGAAGACACTGACAGACAAAACATGCCCACTTTCAGTGATAGCACCCACCAGTACTCAGACACTTCTTGTTGCTGATAACACACACTTAAATTCCAAGTTGAATATCTGGCTGTAGTTTTCAGGGGCTGGTGCACTAAGCCTTTTTTTTTACCAGGTAAGCACTGTCCTCACGTGAAGGTATTAATGCATTTAATTAAGTGATTCTCTACCTTTTAGAGCAGATAATAAGAAATGTCTTCCCACTCTCTCTTAGTTTTTGCCACTTTGTTCTGCAGAAACTTCAGGTTTTATCAGTTGCGATCAAGCCCTTGCAGTAGCCCCACAACAAAACTACTGGTATCATCTACAAAAGTAAATCCCCATTCCTGCCTCTGCCCTCACATTTATACAGCAAAGAAAATTTTTTTAATTTTTTTTTTAACATAGCTTCTTCAAACTAGGAATTCAGTATAGACGACTCCATCTGGCCCTTAAAACCTTGTCAGAACTTATGGTTTCTAAGACACAGTCCACCTCATATCACATATACAATTTTATAAAGTAATCAGCTTTGGATTCAGGTAAACACAGTAACAGTCACATTGACAAGGTATACTTTATTTAAGTGGGCCAAGTTTACTGAGTAGTTCAGAGCATTTTGTCTAACTGTACCATCTTTATAACTACTAGCCATGTCACTACTTTTAAGTACTTGTTTACCATATGGCTACCAACTTTTAAATCAGTATATTTTGCAGTAGTAAAACTAACACTATATCATAAATTGTATTAAATCCATACAGTCACCTTTATCAAACAAATTCAAAATCTCATTAAAAAATAATTATCTATTAGCTTGGACTACAACTACTTTCCATAAAACTTCATGGCAGACATTCATTATATTAGCACCTTTCCACTCCCAATCAAACACCTTTGTCCTAGCGTGTCCATCACTTTACCCAGGAGTGAAGTAAAGCCAATGAAGGCAGTTACCCACAGGTCACCACAGACCCGATTTGAACATAGGCTTCTGGAATTCCCCCAAAGTTGCCAGATTTATTAAAAGTTAATATCAGCAGGGCAGAGATCAGCTCAGCCAGCAATTTTAGGACTTGAGAACAAATTACTTGGTCCAGCTGATTTAAATGTTTTTATGCCTAGTAATTTTTTTTTTAACATTCTCTGTCACTAATGGACTGGAAAGTACTTCACAGTTCTCTTGTTATTTAAAGACATCAATCTGTTTCTTTTCTAATTGAGAACAGATCTATTTCCTGATGAAGTGCTGCACTGTTATTAGCAACTTCGCTCTCTCCATGTGATAATGGCTTAGACCTTTGGTTTGATTTAGTTTCTGTACTTTGTAGAAATTCAGAATGTTTCAGCCACAGCCACAAGTGGCCTCCTGCACTCCTCCCAAACCTCTCACTGCACCTGCCCTTCCTCTCTCTTTCCATTAGAGTAGATTTGAGGAGAAACCCATCTTATTCTCTGCTCCCAAAGAGAGACAGACAGACAGCCACCAGTACTCCTTCATGTCTCTCTAGCTAACAGACAAACACTTTGAAATCAAACGATTTGCAACTCTGAACACTCAGTGCCACAAGATCGCAGGCTGAATTGAGCTGCTCACCAGACACAGTATTCCAACACAGCTGATAACTGGTGATTTTAACATTTCAACCTTTAAATTACTGAAACTCATCAGTTTTCCATCACACCAATTATACGATGTGTCCTAACCCCAGAAAGGCAGTCATGAAAACACTGTGCTTCTCTTCAGAGTTTCACTGGAGGCAAGCAAAGGCACTCAGTAAGTACTTTCAAGGATGGGGTGGTTGTGAATGTTTGGTTTTGTATGGGTTTTGGTTTGTTTTTTTTTTTTCAAACAAATACACAGGCTTTACTTCATATCAGACCATCTCTGTAGCAGAAAGCTCCTGGGGGTATCATCTCCCCCAGTGATTTCCAAACACCTCCACATCTCATAACTAACTCATGAATTGACCTTCCCAACACCTTGCAAAGCATGGGACAGCCAAGACCTTGCCTGAATTTAAAACACAGAAGGCAACAGCATACCATAGCATATTACCACACAGAACACAGTACATGACAGCATACATCCTTAACAGAGCTTATTAACTTGCCCGCATTCCCACAGGCAACACACCACAGCTCTCCCAAAATCCAGCCACACACCCTTCCTGCATGGGGACTGCTCCCATCGTTTGAAGACATTTACTGTTCATTTAAGTCAGACGATGTTTTCTTCTAAAACAGAACTGTTATACTATTTCCATCTACTTGGGGGCTAGATGGCAAACACACTTCACACTTACTCCACAAACTGGGAATTTTAGAGACAGCTGAAAACGTCCTGGGGCCAGGCCCAGCTCACCACCAGGACACCCCTTACACAGTTCCAGCTTAAATACTGCCCCAAATGCCACACAGCATAGTTAACTAAGAACACCAGGAACCCAGGTGTGGGGCCCTCCAAGCATGTCCAGACACTCCTAGGAAGCCCAAAAATAAACGGACTATGGTAGGAACATGCTTTAATCCATCTTTTCTCCAATATTCACCCCAGCCACCACATGCAAAGACAGCCAGTGCCTATAAAACAAGCACCAGCCCCTTAGGGTGTTGCAGTTCACCTTATCCGAGTTGATGATATCCTTTTTGTTGATGGTGCCTGTGTTCTCCGATTCCACGCCGCCCAGCTCCAGGATATCCCGCACATCTGCGCCCGTCGCCATCTCTCCGCCTGCCCACTGCCCTTCTCTGCCGCCGTCCTGTCCGTCCTCTCCAGCTCTGAGGGGTGAGGGGGGTGGGAAACAAGGGGGCCGGCGTTATCATGCACCTCCCGCGGGGGCTATCCCATACACACACAAACAGGCACATGCATGTACATATATACACGTATATCTACAAACATACGCGCATATATATATACTCACGCACACACGTATATCTACCTACATATACACACAGACCCCTCAGCCGCCCCCCCCCTCCTTCCCAGGCCCAACAACGGGGCCTTGTACCCCGCCAGTCCCAAGGGCCACGCACGCCGAGCCCGCAGCCGGGAGCCCCGCGGCGGGGTCCCGG